ATACTCTTCTCCAACACCACAGCTCAAAGGCACCAATTCTCCTTATATCCTCCTTAGTCATTGTCCAACTCTCTGATGCATAACAAGTGATAGCAAAGATCATGGCCTGTATCAGACACACCTTAGTCTCCAGAGAGACACCATTGCTCTTCAGTCCTTTGGAGAGGTCCCTAAGAGCAGACTTTCCTGACATTTAAGAAAACTAAAATTCTCAACATTAAGAAAACAAAAATTCTTAACAGCAGGACAATAGGCAACATCATGACAAATGGAGAAGAGATAGAAATATTGAATGATTTTGTCTTTCTTGGACTCACAATCAACATACTTGGCATCAGCAGCTAGGAAATCAAGACGTATCGCGTTGGGAGAGTTGACTATCTTCAAAATTCTGAAGAGAAACGTGTCAGTTTGAAATGGTAGAGTGTCAGTGCAGGAGAGAAAGATCTCAGATGAGATAGATTGACAGTGACTGTGACAATGGGGTCAAATGTGTCAGAGACAGTAAGGCTGACTCAGATTCAACTCAATAATGACACCTAACAACAACAACAATAGATGCCGAATTTTATTAAAGGCTTTGTTGTTTGTAGATGCTGCCCAGTGTGACCTGGCTCACAGCGACACTAGAAAAGATCTAAACCTTGTCCTATACTGAGCATTACCTCTGATATACTTCTGCCCATTGTTACAGTTCACTACGTCTATCCATTTTGTCAAGGGTCTTCCTTTCTTTCACTGATACTCCAACTTTCCCAATATCTTTTTCCAAGGACCAGCCCCTCTTAACAACATGCCCAAAGTACATGAGATGAAACCATCTTTGCCTCTGAGGAGCACCCTGGCTGTATGTTTTCCAAGTCATACTTGTTTGTTCTCTTAGCAGTCCATGGGATATTCAGCACTCTTCTCCAACCCCACAACTCAAAGGCGTCAGTTCTTTGTCTGTCATCCTTAGTTATTGTCCAGCTTTCAGATGCATAGCAAGTAATTGGAAAGACATAGCTTGAATCAGATGCAAGTCTTTAAACTGACTCCGTTTTGGGTATCTATTAAGTAATTTCAGGTGGTGCAAATGATCATATATTCCATTACTAAAGGACAGATCGATGACTCAAACCCAGCCAAAGGTTCCTTAAAAGTCAAGCCTGGCAGTCATAACCTTGAACACCCAATGGTGCACTTTAAGTCTTCACACGAGAGGTAGTTGTTAAACAAGCATTTACATGATATTGATGAACAACAACCAGCAGGGTGCAACTCTGGACAAGTGTCTTCTTGTCTTACTGCCCTGTGTTAGTTTCTCTCATTTACCACATACTCTGCAATTAAATGATTTATCACCCAATTAGGAAGGGCAAGGGCCTGGTCTTATTAGTCATTGAATTACTAGGATCTATTCCAGGCCCTGACACATACAGTCCCTCTTGGAATGCTTGCTCCATGAGCAAAATTAAAACATGTCTGCATGCATCTGATAAAAATGCATTCTTTTGTGGAAAAAAATAAGATGCACTAATTTTTTAAAAAAGAACTTTATTTTAGTGTTATTGTTGTTAGGTGCTATTGAGCATGACTCGTAGAAATCCTACGAACAACACACCTGGATACTGCCTTATCTTGTGCCATCCTCACAATCTCTGACACACTCCAGCCCACCATTGTAGACACTGCATCTTGTTGAAGGTCTTCCTCTCTTCCTTAGTTTTAGAATTACGGAGAAGTCGAAGAAATAAGTGTTCATTTAGACCCCTCAGCCAAGTCTCTCTGCTTAACAGCATATAGTACTGTGATGATCAAGAATCCAAGAACAGATACTTTGCTATCAAATGAACTGTCAGGCTTTCTTTTGATTTCATTCAAATTCAAGAACTTGAGTTCATGCTATGAAGTAATTTTTAACTCATAGAGACCTTCTTATCAGGTTTCTAAGGCTATAAATAGGAGCTCTGGTGACTTAGTAAGCTGTGTTGCAATCATAGAGACATGTGGTTTGAATCCACCAGCTGCTCTGCAGAAGGATGGACAATCGCTCTTCATGCAATTAGTGGGTTAGAACTCAATGGTACACAACAACAACAACAACAAATCTTAAGGAGAGAAGACTACCAGCACTTTAATGCAGTGCAAACCACTATGGACTAAGAAGCCACCTGAGTGCCAAAGATCTCACCAGCTTTTCTCTGATAACCTTTTTTCTGGCCCAGTGTCTCAATCAGAATATCACATCACCCCCTCAGTGTCTCCTAGTCTGTGACAGTTTTCCAGACTCGTCTTGTTTTCTTTCAATAGCTCACAGTTTGGAGGCACGCTGCTTGGGTATTTTGCAGAATGTGTCATGGATTTTGGAGAGGTGAAGTGCTTTGTCCCCAACACATGCATGCAAAGCACACAAACTACCAACTTGACATACTTGATTCATGTTAACCTGATAATTTGCCATGAGAATGTTTGGCAGGCTTCTCCACCATAAAGTTACTATATTCTATTTTTTGCCAGCAAGTGACAAAGTGCAGCCTACATCCAAAGGACAGGGAAGTAAGTATGCCAATCATGAAGGTGATTCCAACTCACAGTGAGCCTGGGGCCAAGTCGAATAGCCTCATGGGACACCCAACGCTCAAAAGTCCTTAGGGACACACACTGCCACATCTTCCTCCTGCCACAGTGGCCAATGGCTTTGTACTACCCAACATTAACTCTCCTTGTTATGTACCACACTATAGAGTGGAAATTGACTCCCAGCTGACCCTCCAGGGGGTTTTCAATCACACAGGAGGAGGAGATTGTCCATTTCTCTCCTGTGGAGCGGCTCATGGATTTGAACAGTGTGCCTTCAGGATTGCAGCACAGCTTCTTACATCTAAGCAGATCTCCTCGGTTAAGCTTCAAACCATGTAAATTACTTGGAATTTTTCTGGGAAAAATTTGCCCCTCATTTATCCAATCACCTATTTTTGTTTTAACGTAAGAAGAAAACAGGGAGCTTTGGTGCCTCTGTTCTTGTTGTTGCGGACCATGGAGTCGGAACTGACCCGTAGCTGATCTTCGGCAGGTTTTCAGAGGCAGTTAATCATATGGGAGGAAATTGCCCAGCCTTCTCCTGTGAAGCAGCTGGTGGCCTCGAACCACTTGCTTTGGGGATTGCAGCGCAGCTTCTTGCCAGTGGCAAGGAGTTATGCCACTGACAAAAAGGCAGGGGTTTGAGATAGGCAGTCTCCTCCCATATTATTTAGTCTCTGAAATCCCGTTGGGGTGGGTCATCTGTGGGTCGGTTCTCACTCAATGATACATAACAACACGATGAAAACTCCTCAAAACACTAGGAATCGCCGTTGGCTTCACACGTCCAACGGGCATAGGGGCTTAAGTGTCAAAGGGGAGACAGGTGTTGGGACTGTTGGACATGCAGCTGGTGGGCTGGGGCGAGGCGCAGAGCAAGCGGCCGGTGGGGAGAGAACCAACGCCCCCGCGGCCAACATGCTCGCGGCAGTGGGCAGGCGGCTCTGATCATCAGTATGGTCTCGCATGCTGGCGCTGCGCAACCCTCTGGTAGAACAAGAACGACCGGCCGCCGCCTCCGGCCTCCAAGAGCCAGCGCAGCGGCGCCCGGGGGGTCAGAGCGTGGTGGGACGGGCGAGCGGACGGAGCTATGGGCCGCCGCAGGCCTCTGCCAGCCCTAGAAGCAGAAGCCCCGCCAGAGCCGCTGCCAGCCACCGCGGTGCAGCCGGACAGTGAAGAGAGACCGCGGCGTCGCAATCGCCGGCCAGGCCACGAGCGGCTGTGGGCGTGGCCGTGGGCGTGGCCTCTGCGTGGCGCGCGCGGGCCGCCGGGATCGCGGGACGCCTGCGGCGGTGGCGGCGACGACGGCGGCGGTTGTTGCGCTCGGTACTGGGGTCGCTGTCTGAGGCGCAGGCGCCGTGCGGTCCGCCTGCCCTCGGCCTCGGCCCGCTGTGTCCTCGTCATGGCGACCGAGCGGAGGCCTTTCCACCTGGTGGTGTTCGGCGCCTCGGGCTTCACCGGCCAGTTCGTGGCGGAGGAGGTGGCCCGGGAGCAGGTGGACCCGGAGCGGACCTCGCGGCTGCCCTGGGCCGTGGCGGGCCGTTGCCGGCAGAAGCTGCAGCGAGTGCTGGAGAGGGCTGCCCTGAAGCTGGGTAAAGGGGCGCGCAGGGTGGGGTCCCCCGGCTCCGCCCTCGCCCCGCAGTCCCCTAACCGGAATTAAGTCCCTTCACCCAACGTGAGGGATTTTCCTCCACGGACGCGCGGTCGGTAGCCCCCATCCCCGTCGAGACGGGAGTAGGACAGCCGAGCTTCTTAGACAAGCCGTGGCTTTGTGCCACTGCGAAAGTGTTTTGTTTCTTTCCTCTTCTTCCTATTCATTACTCCCATCGTTTGTGAGGTCCCACTGTGCATTCCCACGTCTCTTTGGAGAGATGGTCAAGAATGTTGATCTTTCCACTCTATGCTGCATCATCTTTAGAGACGGGGCACCTAGGGGTCTGGAGGTTTCTTGGGTTTCCTGGGACGGGAAAGTCGGCCTTTCGGTTTCTAGAAGCTTATATCCAGGCTCTTCCTTTGCTTTGAGTTTTGGAGATGGGAGTAATTGTTAGATGGCTGTCAAGTTGACTATTCCTCATAGTGACCCTAGGACCAACGGATCTGAACCCCACTCTATCCTGTGCCGTCCCCACCATCTCGAATGTACTGGAGCCCATTATTACAGTCACTGTGTCCATCTGGTTGAGGGTCTTCCTCCCATTTGCTCACCCTCCATCTTTCCCAACATATCCTTTTCCAAGGTCTTTATCCTCCTCTAACAGCATACCCAAAGTATGTCAGACACACTTCATCATCCTCTCTTCCAAGGAGCACCCTGATTGCACTCTATTCAAGACATATTTGTTGGTTCTTTTGGAAGTCCACGGCATATTCAGTACATTATTTCAACACCACAATTAAAAGGCATCGATTCTTCTACTGTCCTTATTTGTTGTCCAACCTTCAGATACATTGCAAATGATTGAAAAGAGCATGGATTGAATCAGGCATACCTTAATCATTAAATTGACATCGTTGTGCTTTTCTGCTTTGGAGAGGCAGTGACAGCAGATTTTTGTTTCTTGCATGCTGGTACCAAAGGAATTGTAAAAGCTTGCTTAAGAGCTTTCCTAATACCATTGTATTTATGAGTTGGACTATTCCCTTCCTTCAGCATTCCTCCATGAGTGTTTTTTTTGAGTGGTATTTTCTATGCCAGGTTCTATTCTAAGATCTGGGAATACACACCCTCATTCAGCTTACACTCTGTTGGAGGAACTCAAAGTCACTGTAGCCAATTCTGACTGGACCCCTAGCTGACCCTCCAGTAGGTTTTGTGAGGTTGTAAATCACTCGGGAGGAGATTGCCTCTTGTTTTGTTTTTTTTTTTGAGATTGCCTCTTGTGGAGGCGCTTCCCTTGGGCTAGGAGTGCAAGTCCCTATGGTCAAGGCCACCCAGGCTCCCTGTTGGTGAAAACATCTAAATTAGGACTCTATAGCTTTTAAAACTGACTCTTAATCCCCCACCTCAGAGTCACTTCATACAAATAGTCAGAAGGTGGATATCCTGCATTCTTTTGTTTTTAAGTTTCATCTCACTTCATTTTTGGATCCTGCTTTGGATAGAAATGTAAGTTGATAGTGATTATGTAGAAGATACCATTCAGGTTTGACTTTTCCTACAGCTGTTAATGTTGTACTACCAGCACACAGCATCTTGGCTAAAGAGCTTTTAGTCTTTGTTCATTTATGGGGGGGTGGGAATCACTACTAAAATAATATTCTTGGTCCATTTCTGTTTCCTCCAACCATTCCTGTACAGTCTCATTATCTACCCTCTGTAATACCCAGACCAGAGTGTGTGTAACGAACACACCGTGACCCATCAAAACCTGCATAACTCCTGGTTAATTCCAATTATTTTCTTATTATGTGTTTGATGATACAGACTGCGCTTTTCATCTGTGCTCTTTGTTCCCATGATATTGATGTTAATTAACACTAGCTCCCATAATTGGATCATGTGTAATTGTTTAGTAGTTAATGAGGATTATTCTTATAACAAACTGCTTGGTACAGAAGTCAGGAAAATTATCTACTTCAGCACCAAATTTGATTATTAAATTGTCATTATACAAAATTATCATTTCTACAATGGTTGTGTTAGATAATTTTTTAAGTTAGATTGTCCAAAAATGACTGGAACAGCACATCAACAAAAAACTCCCAGAAGTGCAGGCTGGATTTAGAAGGGGTTGGGGTACTAGGATATTGTAAATAATGTTAGATGGATCTTGGCAGAAAGCAGAGAATACCAGAAGAATGTCTTATCTGTGTTTCATTAATTATGCAAAGACATTTGTGAATCACAACAAACTGTGGCTTACTCAAGACTGGGAATCCCAGAACATTTGATCGTGTTAATGCGAAACCTATACTTGGACCAGGAGGCAGTCGTCAGAACAGAGCAAGGAGCCACTGCATGGTTCAAAATTGGGAAGGGTATACACCAGTGATGTATCCTATCTCCATAACCTTTTCAACCTATATGCAAAACAGATTATGCTGGAGGCTGTGCTCTATGAGGAGAAATGTGGCAACAGGATTAGAGGACGAGTCATCAACAATCTGCGTTAAGCAGATGACATGAAGTGCTTGCTGCAGAAGATCACGGACTGCAAATATGGATTGAAGCTTAATATCATCATTGGGCTGATTGGCAGCATCATGATAGATGATGAAGAGATTGAGATTGTTAACAGCTTTAGTTTGCTTGGCTCCACAGTCAACACTCTTGGCACCAGCAGCCAGGAAATTAAAAGCCATATTGCAATAGGAAAGTCGGCTGTTAAAGACCTCTCCAAAGTACTGAAGAGCAACAGTGTTAGTCTGAAGACTAAGGTGCACCTTATATAGGCCATGGTCTTTGCAATCACTTGCTATGACTTGTCAGAGATCTGAACAGTGACTAGGGAGGATAGAAGGAGAATTGATGCCTTTGAGCTATGGTGTTGGAGAAGAGTATTGAATATACCATATACTACTAAGAGAACAAACAGGTTCATCCGGGAGAGGGTTAAACTAGGCTGCTCCTTGGAGGCAAGGATTCTGAAGCTTCATCTGACATACTTTGGACATGTTGCAAGGAGGGACCAGTCCTTGGAGAGGGACGTCATGCTTGGGAGGGTGGAAGAGATGTGCAGGAGAGGAAGGCCCTCTATGAGATGAATTTATTCAGTGACTGGAGTAATGGGGATAGGTGTGTCAGAGCTAGTGAGATTGGCACAGGATAGAGCAGGGTTTAGGGCTGTTGTACATAGGGTTGTTATGAGTCGCAGGCGACTTGACAGCACATAACAACAGTTAATATTTTTAGTAAATTTAGTGTTTTTTAAATAAATCTAGTATTGACTTTATTTGTTAATGAAATTAATATAAAATATGGCTACCATTAGCTTTATTTGTTAAGGCTTAAAAACACTTTATCCTTCTGGTTAAAAATCTTTTGTCTTCTAAGGTAGAGCGGTAGTTTCCAGTATATTTAGTAAATTTGTCACTGATTACTTTCAAAAGATATGGCAGTCTAATGTATTGGAACTGGCTTAAAATTATTCCTTTCTTGTTTTAGGAAGACCAACACTACCATCTGAAGTTGGAATAATAATTTGCGATACCACTAACCCAGCCTCACTTGATGAAATGGCTAAACAGGCAACTGTTGTCCTCAATTGTGTGGGACCAGTGAGTAATCACTCCTTCTTTGTATAAGAACAAACTGTGCATTCATTGCTAGCAAAATGTGATACTTGAAAAATTTCAGAGGAACCTACTGGCAGAACATAAGAGTTGGTTTGATAGCCTTAACCCCATATGGGAAATAGTGACTTTTCAGGAAGAACAAATGTATATTAGAGAACCTCTGGAAGAGGGAGTGCCAAGCTCTCTGTGATAATTGCGGTTAAGGAATATGTGCTGGATTATTGACTGGTTAAAGACAGGGTTGTCAGGCTATTTTAAGAAAAGAAAAAACACCCCAAAACAAAACACCTTTATTATACCTCTTTTGTTAAAAAGTTTGAACATGTTCCCCCAATATATTTTTTAATTTGTGAGTGATTTTTTTTATTAGTATAAAGATACCAATTTCAAAATAAGTGAAAAATAGACTGAAGAAGCACTAATTGTTAAATTGATCCTTACTGAATGCATGCTATGTGTGAAAGGCTCCATTTTGGGCCCTTGTGGAAGACAAAGATAAAAACCTTCATAGAGCCTCTGCATTGTACTGGAGGAGATGAAATAAAACTATTAAATCTCTTAGATAGTGATATGTGGTTTGAAAAGAAGGAAATATTGACATGATGACTGTGGCAATGAATTCAAGTGTGTCAGAGATGAGGATGGCATGAGATAGGACAGGATTCAGATCTGTTATTGATAGGGTTGCTTTGAGTTGTAGTTTACTGGATGGTGCCTGACAACAACAGTAAGGTAAGTAAAAATGTTTGACATGTCATACCATATTAGGTGGTCAGTCTGGAAGACCCTATGAAGAGTTGACAAGTGAAGGAGGAAGTGATGTGAATATTTAAAAAGAATAGTCACAGGTCTAAGATGAGAATGGCTTAATGAGACTGAGAATTGTTTGGCCGGAGTGGTGTGAACAGGCCAAAGAGATGGGTAGTTAGATTGGACTTTAGAAGCAAGGTCAGGGTTGTTTTTTTATTTTCTTCTGAATGAAACATTGAATGGCTGAGAGCAGGGCCGTGAGAGGAAAAAGAGGTAGTGGGAGGCCCTCAGTGGACTAGTACAGACAAGTGCCGGAGATGTAAATGTAGTGGGAAGCAGTTGAGTTCAGAGTATGCTTTGAAAGAACCAGGAGTTTTTGTTACTGTACAAGATGTGAGAGAGGAGAGTCAAGGATGACTCTTGAGACTTTTGGCCTGTTCATCAGGGTGAATGGTGATGATTTACAGACCAGGGAAACCTTCACAGTTGGCAAAATATTTGAAAGCTATATATCTAGAAGAATTTTGGTAATTAATTTTTTTAATTGAAAGCAAATTTTTGGACTGTTGTTAGGTAAAACTATAAATGTTATTTAGATGTATCTCATTCTTAACCAGCTTAGATTTCATTGTCCATTACTGTAATCATGCTCTTACATACATACACAGATTTTTGTTTGTAATGCACTGGCTAAATAATACACAATGCACTTAACATGCACAGCAGGCATATGGAACTGAATATATGATTTGTAGAAAACTTTATAACTTGCATGCTGTTTATGTAAAAGTATGCAATAGTTGGAATATGGAAGAGATTCCCCAAAAAAGTGATGCAGTACATTGTAGCACTTAATGAATAATATCATTAATACCTTACTCAAGTAATATCTTACTTTAGATTTAGGAGATTATTTTAAAATGACAGGGAACTACCTGAAACTGGATACTGAAAAGGCTGTACAATGGAAGGACATAATTTTTGGCCTCAGGTGGATCTTGGCTGAAGATATCAGAAAAATATCAGAAAGGTGCCTACTTGTATTTTGTTGATCTTAAAAAGTTATTTGATTATAATATAATAATAAAAAATTTTATGGTGTCTCTCTGGAGACTAAAGTGCGTTTGATACAGGCCATGGTCTTCGCAGTCACTTGTTATGCATCAGAGAGTTGGACAATGACCAAAGAGGATAGAAGGAGAATTGATGCCTTTGAGCTGTGGTGCTGGAGAAGAGTATTGAGAATACCATGGACTGCTAGGAAAACAAACAGATTCATCCTGGAAAGGGTTAAACCGGGTGGCTCCTTGGAGGAAAGGATTCTGAGGCTCCGTCTAACATACTTTAGACATGTTGTGAGAAGAGACCGGTCCTTGGAGAAGGACATCATGCTTGGGAGGGTGGAGGGACGGCGCAGGAGGGGAAGGCCCTCTATGAGGTGGATTGATTCAGTGACTGGGATAATCGGGATGGGAGTGTCAGAGACAGTGCGATTGGCATAGGACAGAGCAGAGTTTAGGGCTGTTGTACATAGGGTCGCTATGAGTCGCAAGTGACTCAATGGCACATAACAACAACAACATCATAAATAATAGAAATTCAAGAAGTAATTGTGCTTCTGTAGAACAACATGTCTATAAACCAAGAAGCCAGTCATTGGAATAGAACAGGACAGGAGACTGCTGTGTGGTTTAAAATCATGAACAGGGAGCACATATTCACCTGTAATTCCATCACGGCTTATTTACACTTAATTTACACTGCACAGTAATAGAATGCAGTTGTGCTATTTCTGCAATTTATCCTTAGGCTACGTTTTGAACATTTGGTTTCTTAATAATTAGAATTACTTCAAAAGATAAATGCTTTTTCATTTGTTCAGACCTGCTAAGAGTAAACTGTTTGTCATCTTATCACCTAGTACCGATTTTATGGAGAACCTGTGGTAAAGGCATGCATTGAAAATGGAGCTAGCTATATTGACATCTGTGGAGAACCTCAGGTATGGAACATAGGAAATTAAGATACGTAGAATTAAAACCACGTAATTTTCCATTTAATGACTAGGATACTATTTAGTGCAGTTTTGGAGATGTAATTTAGAAGTTGGTGATTTCTTGCTGGTGTTGAAATGTAGTGTCCCTGTGGAGGTAAACTTTCGTACCTTGAAAGAGCACACAGATGTAACATCCTTTGTATATATTATGCATTGCTTTTTATAGCTGCTGCATGCTGTAAATTAAATTAATTAAAATATGCTATGTATAATTCTCAGTATCACACTTTATTTTTTATTAGAAGCTCCCTTCTGAAATTAAACTTCTTTGTAACATTAAACCAGAACCAAACCCACTGCTTGCAAGTTGATTCTGACATACAACAGGGCTCCATTGTGTTTCTGAGACTGTGCATCTCTGTGGGAGAATACTAGCAACCTTTGTGCTGGGGAGCAGATGGTGGGTTCTGATTGCCAGTCCTTTGGTTAGCAACACGATATGCAACACCCTGTCCCATAAGGGCTCCTTCTTTACCACCTTATCGAGAAATGGGAAATCCACTCAGCCTAAAAATGTTGACTATGTTTATCGAATGCTTACCCCATGCTTCAGTGTGCAGATGTCTTTGAGTAACTTCATCTGTTTCATCTTCATCTCTGTCATAGATGAGAGAACTGATGGTTTGTAAAGTAGCTTGTTGATGTTATTATTGTTGTTGATTGCCTTCAAGTTGAGCACAACTCATAGTGACCCTATGAACAAAAGGCCTGAAGCCCTTCTACAACTATCAACATTTATCAAAGTTCATAGAGTGTAGATGCATGTTGTTTAGGAAGTGGGTATCACTCCTGCTTGCAAAAAGGAGCTTACTCAAAGTTAATGCAGCTAGTGCATGGAAAAACTTGCAATTTGCCTGACTACAGCAAGTAGTGTTCTGATAAGTACTAAACCACACTGCCTCTTCAAGCTGTAATATCGTATCCCTAAAGCTGATTAGTATCATTGTGCCAACATAATACATACTTTAAGTTTACCATTATAGAATATATTCTGGAAAAGAGTAGGACAATGTAAATGATCAAAATGTGTTTATGATATAGGAAACTTGAATAAAATAACAATTTCTGTATTAGTTAGAATACCACAAAACATAGACAACTGTGAAAAGCCTGCTACATCATTTTACAGACTTCCATGAAAGTGATATCAGAACTTAATAACAATCCAGAAGATAAAAAGATTTCTTTCAGCTCAGTAGTAGAGGACAGAATTTTGTAGAGCTCCTATGGCTTCATAGAGGAGAGCCTAGCTCTTTTGCTTCCACTACCATCCTGTTGTCCTGTCTAGATGTGCATAGATATTCATCTGTAATCATATCATCTCAGTAATGTAATTTGGAGCAATATTTTTGTTTTTATATTTTTCTATGTTAAATAGGTGAGTACTACTTTTGGGGTTTTTTTTCGCATTTGAAGACTATGTCTTTTCTATGTTGTTGTTGTTGTTGTTATGTGCCAACTCCTAGCGACCCTATGTACAAGAGCTCTATATGCTCTTCTATCCTGTGCCAACCTAGCCATCTCAAACGCACTTTTTCCCACCTCTTCAGTCACAGAATTGATCCATCTCATCAAAGGCCTTCCTCTCCTTCGCCACCCCTCCACTCTGCCAAACATGATGTCCCTCTCCAAGGACCAGTCCCTCCTTGCAACATGCCCAAAATATGTCAGATGAAGCTTCAGAATCCTTGAC